GAGGTGATGACAGAAGTGATAGCCACTTCTGGGGCATTGTCATTCACATCCAGAACTGTGACATAAATTTTACTTCTGCTCTTGAGACCTAGGCCATCCTCAGCCTCTACTTCCATCATGTGCAATTCTGCAACTTCATAATCCAGATTTTGTAAGGTTGATAATTCTCCAGTCACAGAACTCAGTTGGAAGATTTGGGAGATCTTTCCAGGCATTTTCACTTGAAAATATCTTACCTGAGAATTGATTCCTCCATCTGCATCAGTGGCATTTACTGTGAGCAGCAGTGTCCCCTGGGGTACATTCTCAGGAACATTGACAGTATACATGGACTGGGTAAACACTGGGGCATTGTCATTGGCATCCAGGACAATCACTCGGATTCTGGCAGTGCCAGAACGGACAGGTTCTCCTCCATCCCATGCTGTGAGCACGAGGTGGAGATCCGGTTCCTTTTCCCGGTCTAGAGCCTGCTCCAGCATCAGCTCTGGTTACTTCACCCCATCGTCTGTGCTTTGCACTCTCAGAGAAAAGTGATGGTTGGGGCTCAGCTCATAACCCTGTAGAGAATTCACTCCCACATCCGGGTCATATGCACTTTCCAAGAGATGCTGGGTTCCCAGAGCTGTGAATTCACTGATTTTTAGTTCTAGGTCCTCTGCTAAAAAGTAAGGAGCGTTATCATTAATGTCTATTATTTCCACATCCACTGAATAGATTTTCAGTTTATCCTCGACGAGAACATTAAAATACAGCAGGCACTGGGCACTCTGGGTGCAGATTTCTTCTCTGTCTATTCTGTCCCCGATGACTAAGCTACCGGTTCTGACATTGAGAGCGAAATGCTGCTTCTCACCTTTGGAAACGATGCGAGCCCCTCGCTCTGACAATTCCGTTGGCTGCAGTCCCAAGTCCTTGGCGATGTTGCCCACAAAAGATCCCTTTTCCATCTCTTCGGGAATCGAGTACAGGATCTGGGCAGCGCTGATCTCCCACAGAGTCCCCAGGAGATAATAAAGCAGGAATTGCCTCATGCAGCCTCTGTGGTTTTGCTCAGCGACTATTGTTTCGTTTAAAAATGTTCTCCTTATTCTGCAGACGAATCTGAATTAGTTCGTGGGCTCCCCGAATGGAAGTAGATTTGATTGGTAGTCAGTTTCCGGAATCTAAACCCAGAGTTTGCGGGGTTGGAGGGCAGAATTTATGTGCATACTGGTCCTTGTGTGTTTGATTTTCCGGAGCCTTGTCTCTCTCAAGACTTGGGAGGATTAGACTGGCTCTCTCCTCGCTATTTTCTTCCCTACTGGTGAACAGCGGTGCCCAGAGTCTACATCAATTATTACACTCGTCCTGAGACACTAATGGTATATTGGCTTGTATACTTTGTGAGATGTTTTAAAGAAAGCTATTTTTCTTTTGGATTTGGAGGGACCTTAAGGAGATCATTTATTCCAAAAACAGCACTTTATTTATGTTTCTGTCAATCTTTATAAATTTTTTTATATTAATTGTGACTATTACCTTCTCGACCTATTAGGTAACCTAACTTTAAATTTACTCTTCTCTCTACCATAGAAATATTTTGTGTAACTTTGTTATCAGGTGTCTTTGTTGTAATTTTTACCTCTCATATCATAATAACGACACAATTTTTACATTCAATCTTAATATCTATAGTTTATATTTGCATTTGTAACTGCATATTAATCTTTTACCTAAATCTGTATATCCATATCTTTATATATCTGTCTTTTCTTTCAGTGCTTCAAGAAACACTTTGGCATGGCATTAATTTCATCTTTGTAAGAAGTAATCCCCATTTCAGTTGTGAATAAAATTTCACAATCTTGTTATTAATTAACTTGAAGTACAAGATAGCACAACTGAATCTCTTTACTATCCTATATTTTGTTTCACCAAAGAGAATGGTACAAAAGCATAACTCCATCCATGTTAGATTAGTAAGTGGTTATACTCTACTGCAATAAGCATGATAAAATATATGAGAGAAATTCTAGGAACCTTATGGTAAAGTAGAAAGAAAAATGGATCTGGGTCAGAGATCTTGGGTTTGATTGTAGGATTGTCTGCTTACAATATATGTGTCATTTGGTCAGTCTCCCAACTTCTCTGGATCTGTTTACACTCATAAAAAATGAATGTCTTAGACTATATAAACCCAAGTCCTTTAAATTGTATATTTATGGCTCTCTAAGCCTTTGCTAAGTTCTTCAGCGTAAAACTGATGAATTGAAAGGGTACTGTTATAGAAATAAGAAAGACATCCAAGGAAATGCTGAGTAACAAAACGTCTGCATGTAAGAGAACATATCAGTACTTTAAGTATCTGTGTGGTTCAAGGTATAGTCGACCTCTCCTCTAACATATTACCAAACCATCCTACCACTTCATTGGTGGTCTTTGTGATCAACATTTTTGATTACTTTACTGCCACTTTAATGATTAGTGTCTTACAATTTAGCTGGATTAATCTTTCATCCACTGATACATGGATTATATGAAGACCCCATTGGAGAGTGTAAGTCATTACAAGATATCAATACTTTATTATTTTAAACAATCAATTCCTGGTAAAAGAGACAGCAACTTTGCCATTGCCTCCAGGAGACAATGATGATAATGTTAAAATGTAGTGATTCACTGTCATGTCAGTTGCAGAAAGGGAATTTGAGAACTGCACATCTCTTTGTTTCATGGTTAATAGAGTCATCATTTATAAATCAAGAAGGAGAATTCATGAGGTGGTGTGATCTAGTGGATAAAGTTTGTATAGAACTCAAGGAGAATTAGATTCAATCCTGGCTCCAACAAGCACTCTCCATGTGACCTCAGGGTCATTTAATCTCTCTGTGCCTCAGGCAAAATTACAGATTCAAAGTAAGTGAAGCTCTTCATCAATATATGGATTTCCCTCATTTGGAGTGCCCCATACTAATGAAATTCCAAATCTGGTCCAATAAAATAAAAGAGAAGAATGTATCACTAATAAAAATAAGAAAGAATAACAACAAAAGAAATAAAAGAATCATATAGTGAAAGTCTACTTCCTTTCTTGTGGTAATCTAAAACTACAGAGATCAAAGTGCAGCAAGAATTTAAGGAAGTGTAATAGAACCAAACAATCCCCTCATTTAAACTTTTCTAAAAGAAGAAGTCAACACAACTCAGGTCATTTTGTCAGCACTGTATTTCCAGATTTTTTGATTTGAAGATAAATCACAGTTAGAATATCATTCACATATTCAGTAAAAGGGATGCCTGACTATTTCTGTTTGTAGCAACAGACATTAAATCTTATCTTAAATCAATGTCCCAGGTACCATAGTATTGGGTCAGTCCTCTTAGGGAAGTTAGCATAGCCTCTTGAGCAACCTTGGCCAAGCCACTGAAACTCTCTAGCTATCAGTTCCCATATCTCAAAAAAAAAAAATAAGACTTTGGATAACCTCCAAGATATTGTCCGGTTCTAAGTCTTATGACCTTACTTACTAGCACTTTTACTAGATTCAGATCATCATTAGAAAAAATTGTGTTTGTTGGCAGAATAACTGTAACATGCTACTAAAGTCTAGCAAACAGTAGAGAAACAAATACAGTCATGAATTTCAAAATAACTTGTAATTCAATTCTGCAGAATTTTATTTTACCTGAAAAATGTTTGTTCATCTTTAACTTCAAATAAAGACTGGACACATAATGTTGATTTCTTGTAGCTTTGCTAACTTAGAAAGGTGTCTGCATAGTTGGACTGGGGAAAGATAAACTGACTTTTCCAAGAGTCAGTAGTAAAAGCAACTTCAAGTGAATGTATTTGGAGAAAAGCTTGAACTCCATTAGTGTCCACAAATTGGGATGCAGGGACACCCAAGAAATAGGTATCAGATGAACCTAAGAGCTGTGATCTCCTCCATTGATGTAACTTGACTGTCAGTAAGACAATGAGGAAGGCAAAAAAGAGACAAGATACTGCAGCTATTGCTATAACCAAGTAGAGTGTGATGTTAGAGTCCTCTTGAATCCCAGGAGCTGCCTGGCTGCTGCGATCTGAGAGGATCTCAGGGATGTTGTCAGCCACTGCCTCAGTGACACTGACAGTGGCAGAGAGAGGGGGTTCCCCATTGTCTGTCACTGCCACCATGAGATTCTGCTTGAGGGTATCTTTGTCCAGGAATGTCCAGACAGTCCTGATCTCCTCTGGGTGCAGGCCCATGGAGAAAAGCCCAGGCTCTGTGGCCTTGAGTAGGCAGTAGGACAGCCAGGCAGAATGACCAGAGTCTGCATTCACTGCCACCACCTTGGTCACCAGGTAGCCTGGCTCTGCAGAGCATGGGGCCAGCTCCACTCCACTGGAGCCATCCATGGGGAAAGTGGGGTACAGGATTTCTGGGGCATTGTCATTCTGATGCAGGATGAACAGAGTCAGGGACATGTTGGTGCTGAGAGGAGGGTCCCCAGAGTCCCTGGCTATCACTCTCAGCTGTAGCTCCCTAAACTGTTCATAGTTGAAGGAGAACAGAGCATGAAGTATGCCTGTCTCAGAATTAATGGAGACACAGAAAGAGAGAGATGTCTCCTGGAAAGTGTCTTCTGCAATGGAGTAAATGACTTGAGCATTATCCTCCAGGTTGAGATCCAAGGCAGTCACTGAATAAATAGAGACTCCTCTAGGATTATTGTCTTGGATGTAGGCAAGGTAAAATGACTGACTGAAAGTGGGTGAGTTGTCATTGATGTCAGCTATACTCAGTGAAAGGTAATATAAGTCTATAGTGGCAGAGTCCCTGTCTATAACTGTCACTGTAAAGTTGTACACAGAAACCTGCTCCCTGTCCAAAACCCTGTCTGTCTGCAAACTGTCATAATTATCAACTATTTTTTCTAATTTAAAGGGCAGATCCACTGGAATGGAACATGTGACATGACCATTCTCTCCAGAATCTGGGTCATGCATATTAGAAGGGGAAATCACAGTCCCTGGGAGAGAATTTTCTGGAACTGAACCGATGAACGAAGTGATGGTCACTTCTGGGGCATTGTCATTTATGTCCAGAACTGTGATCAAGAACTTAACACCGATCATTAAACCAGCTCCATCTTGTGCTTGAATTTCCATTTCATAAAACTCTAATTCTTCAAAATTCAAGGATATTTGATTCCTTATTTCCCCTTTATGAGAGTCCAAGTGGAAGGTTTGGGCTGCTTTACTTTCGATGTTCCTAAAAGAATAGATCACTTCCCCATTGACTCCCTCTTCTGGGTCAGTGACATTCACTGTAAGCATCCACGTTTCCACAGACACTCTCAGGAACACTCACACTGTACATGGGCTGAGTAAAAACTGGCACGTTGTCATTGAAATCAAGTACAGTCACACGAATGTGTACGGTACCAGAGTGGACCGGGTCTCTCCCATCCAAGGCTGTGAGGGTGAGGTGATGAATAGGCTCCTCCTCCCCATCCAGCGCCTGCTCCAGTACCAGTTCTGGGTACTTGGCCTCATCTGTTCCTCTCTGCACATGCAGAAAGAAGTGATGGTTCGGGCTCATCTGGTAGCTCTGGACTGAATTCACACCCACATCTGGGTCCTGTGCAGAAGGCAGAGGGTATCTAGTTCCTGGAGTGATTTTTTCATTAATTTTGAAATCCAAGTCTTCTGACCCAAAGCAAGGAACATTGTTATTAATGTCTAATATTTCTACTTCTATAGGGTAAAGTTTGAACTTATCCTCAATCAGAATATTGAAATTCAGTAGACACTGGGAACTCTGAGCACAAAGCTCCTCCCTGCCTATTCTGTCCAAGGTCACTAAGCTATGGCTTCTTAGGTTCAGAGCGAAATACTGCTTCTTACCTCTGGAGACGATTCAAGGTCTGAGCTCCGACAGTTTCTGAGGCTCTACCTCCAGATCTTTGGCAATGTCGCCCATGAAAGAGCCCTTCTCCATCTCCTCGGGTACCGAGTAGCAGATCTTGGCAGCCCCGTCCTTACACAGAATCCCCAGGAGAAAGCAAAGCAAGGCTGATTGCCTGCAAGCCCACTGCCTTGTGCTCAGCAGTCATTGCTGTCTCTCTGCCAAATGATTTGTATTTCTTTTCCTACTACTTGTGTCTGAATTCAGCTCTTGGTTCGTCCATGTCCAGTGGAGTATCCGCAGTCAAATTCAGAGTGCTCATATGCTGAATCTTTGTGTATTTCATCTGAAGGCTCTTTGTGAGGCAGAATTGAAAAGACTGACTCTCCTCTAATTTCTCTCCCAGGTTGGTGAACAGCGACACCCAGAGTCCCAAGCAACTACTCCAGGATTTTTGAGAAGATGAAATATGTTTTCTCTATACACCATTTTCCTTCCTAATAATTTCCTAGGTCTTCTTTTCACATTCTATCATTCTCTGTGAGAATCACAGATGAACCAAAATAATAATTTCATTGTTTCAAGTCATAACAATTATGGCGTTCTCAAAAAGGTTGATAAAAACGAAAAAAAAATCCTATCTACTTGGAATGTGAGGTTTTATTTATTTATTTTTTTGTCCCAAAGTCCAGATATCTGACTTTGTCACTCCTCCTTTCTAGAAGATTGTCACTTAGAAAGCACTCCCAAGGGGCAGCCTCCTGATACACTGGAGAGTCTACTGGTGGGGAGTTATTAGATGTGAGTTGGAATGTCTAAGCTCTCCTGCTCCCTACCTGTGTGACCTTGGCCAAGGTTTTCAACCTTTCTGGGCCTTCAGTTTATGGTCTGTAAAGTGACAGATAGCTTCTGACATCCCTTCAATTATAAATCTATAAATCTATCAATTCTAAACCTTTTTTTTTGCTAGGCAATGGGGTTAAGTGACTTGCCCAGGGTCACACAGCTAGTAAGTGTCAAGTGTCTGAGGTCAGATTTGAACTCAGGTCCTCCTGACTCCAGGGCCAGTGCTCTATCCAATGTGCCACCTAGCTGCCCTCTAAAACTTTTTTTAAAAAGACTTTTTGTCCATGTCCTTCATTTTACAGATAAGGAACCTGAAGCCCAGGAAAGTTGAGTGAATTTCCTAAGGTTGCATAGATAGCAACTGATAAAAACAAGTCTATGTGCATTATGTGATAAAAACAAGTCAATGTGCATTATGTGATAAAAACAAGTCAATATTACTCAGCATTTGCTCAATCTTGCCGCTGTTTGATTTTCTTTATGTAGTTTAAGTAAAAATGTATCTTTCTCTTTCTCTTGTGCTTTTTCACTTCATTTGTCTTCCCATATGTCTTTGCATTCCTATTTGCCATTTCATACATCTCATTTCTTTTTAAAGTAACTTTTCAAGATGTTCTTTTTAGTAGTTTGATAAAGCAAATAAAGAGTAGTAAATATTTCTCTACTGAAAACTCTTTGCCCTAATATTAATTTTTCTTTTTGTTGTCTTTGCCTCTTTGTTGAGTGTGATATGGAGTCTCAGAGTTGCTTTAATTTTCATTCTCAATTCATAGTGATTTGGAACATTTTTTGGTATAGCCATAAATATCTTGGGTTTCTTCCAGCTGTTCATATCCATAGCCCGTTCATCAATTGGAGAATGTTTCTTTTTCTCATAAGTTTGAATCAATTCCTGAGATATCTTGGAAATGAGATTTTCATCACAGATATTTAATGCAAAGATTTTTTCCCCTATTAATTGCTTCCCTTTTAATCTTTGCTTTATTAGGTTTGTTTGTGCAAAAACTTTTTAATTTTATGTAATCAAAATTATCCATTTTATCCTCTATGATCTTCTCTATTCCTTGTTTGATCATGAACTTTTCTCCTATCTATAGATCTGATGATAAAGTATGCTATCCATTATAGAGAAGTGGTGTGTTTAGGCTTCAGAATGAAACACATACATATACATGTACACACACACACATATTGAGGGAATTTGTTATATTTCTTTTTCTTTCTTTTTTTTCCCATTGTGGTGAGGGGTGAGAGAGAAAGAAAATAGATTTTTTTTAAATTAGGGAAGTGTTAAAATATGAAATGCTGCTTGTGCTTTCAAATGAAGCTACTGTATTGTTAGTTTTATTTATTTGTTTTATTTTGGTACAAGAGACCTGTCTGGAGGTGAGAGTAATCTGTAAATACTTGTAATGTAAAAACATCAATGATGCTGGGATAAAACCTTCCCAGTCTATTACCTAGTGACATGATATAAAATAAACTAATTCTTGCATTACTTTCATGCCCAAGAAAATCCAGAGTTGCAATACTTTGTGCATTTGTAGCTTCCCAAGACACCAAGAGAGGGTAAAAAATAAAAAGGCAACCATAGAAATGCCTTAGGGTAAAGGTAATTGGTATCTAAGTCTATGTATCTACAGGGGGATAAATGCCCTGAAGACAAGTTTTAAAAATATCTTCAATCAGTATTTCTTTGGAGAAAAAAAAATTACTCTAAAAAGACACAATATGAGTTAATGTTTCCAGAAGTGCCAACAATTTCTCATAGCCCAAATTTAACCTTAGAGTTCTGGAGTATTTGATTCATCTCACCATTATTTTACTGAAGTGAGCTACTTTGTCTGCTAAGACATTTTACAGAAGATGGAGACCGTTTACATCCCTGGAAGGAAGAACCTATTAATCAAAAGGAGGCCATAGAGTTGGAGATAAATTGTACTCTCATAATTTTTTTTCTTGCTTTTTGGAGAGGCAATCAGGGTTAAGTGACTTGCCCAGGGTCACACAGCTAGTAATTGTCAAGTGTCGGAGGCTGAGATTTGAACTCAGGTCCTCCTGACTCCAAGACTGGAGCTCTATCCACTGTGCCACCTAGCTGCCCCAAATTGTACTCTTACAGAAAGAATTTGCTCATTCACTGATTACTGTGTGCTTATAATTATGTTAGGTGTTGGAAGAGATGTAAAGATAAACAATCTGGTTTCAAACAACTATAAGAGGCCATTTCAGTTTCCTTATCTGTAAAATGAAAGAGTTTGACCAGATGTAATTTAATCTGGGTTCAGAATAGGAGCAGTTAATTTTCTAAACAACTTATCTAAACAAATTCTCTGACATACCCTCATGGATACATACTTCTTTGTTATTAATTTTTTTTGAGCTTTATAAAGTAATAGTTTTTTTGCAACTTGATTGTTATGAGACTGAATATATAAATTAATTTAGATAGAATTGTCATTTTAATTATATTGGCTCAGCCTACACATGAGCAATTGATATTTTTTCAATCACTTAGATCTAACATATGGATACATACTTCAATGTATATTTAAAAACTGCCTTCCTTTGTCAAAAGTCTCGTTATGAATGTCTCCCTTTTCAAGCTTGTCCTTTCCTGTCACTGAGCATAATAGCTTATCCTGGAGCTGAATGAGTAATGATTACCAATCGTTACCAATTCAAGGGAAATAGTCTTTACCAATCAGGGGAAATAGAAATTTGTGACAGTGATAGAAAGAAGGTATGGTATCTGAGTAAAACATTTCAGAGGCTTTTGATACCAATTTGACCTAAAGTCTTGCAACATGCTTAGGAATCTGACTGTAAGATTTAAGATGAGTTGAAAGTTGTTCTACTAATTGTAGGGACAAAAAGGAGGTTAGATTAGTGACCAGGAAATGAGAAATGATGAAAGTAATTTTTCAAAGATACCTGGAAAGACTTGTATGAATTGATACAGAGTGAATTGAGCAGAACCAAAAGAACACTTTAAACAATAACAACAATTTTGTAAATACAATCAACTTTGAAAAACTTAAGGAATCTGATAAACCATATTTCTAGACTCTTCCCACCTCCTGACAAAGAGATGATGACTTGGGGTGCAGAATAAGACATTTTTAAGACATGGGTGTAGAGGAAATTTATTTAGCTTGATTATGCATATTTATTGCGAACATTTGGCTTTTTTAGTGAGAAGAGTGGGAAAAAGAAAAAATAAATTTTTGTTATTTTAAATAATTTAAATTAAACATATAAAATGATGAACAGCAACAGGTAAGGGTCAATCAAAAGATGCTACATTATAAAGAGAGAAAAAAGAAATATATCTAGTTTTTTGCATTGGTGGATGAACTATTAAATGTTTTGAAAAATTCAAAACTAGATAGATTAATAATCCACTATTAGTTATAACCACAGAAACCATAAAAGACCAGTACTACTAGGACAATGAGTGAAGAGAGTAGACTTTTGGAAAAGCTGAATTCTAACCTTCTCCTGCAGAATCCTAATGCTTGAAACGGGCTTTATCCAGAACACACCTATGGGTCTTATCCTAAATGCATTTATAGTGAATAAATAGATGATATCTGGATAAGTTAGAAAAGAATCTTAGAAGCTATATAGGTATGTATCCCAACACTACTTTGAGACAAGGATGTTGAGGAAGTAAGAAAAGTTTTTTTTTTAAAGATTAAAGCAGATAGGTGCAAAGCCAATCTAAATCAGAAAACACATCTGTGGCAGTATTCCTGAAACCTTTTGCCTGGGAATTCTGATTAGTAGGTGATCCTAAGGGGCCTCCATTTGCTGTTCTTTTAAGAGAGTTAAATTTGACCTCAAATGCATCTGAGGGAACTCAGAAATTTTAGAAATAAGGCAGAGTTTCCTTACTATGGTTTTTTTTAGGATGCCAGGTCCAACCCTACAGCTTCCAGAAGCAGCCCAACAACTTGGCATTAGAAGCTCTCCAAAAATTGAGGCCAAAATCTATTGTCACTATGATGAGAAACAACATAGAAATTAGGCCTGGAATCACAAGTGGCTAAAACCATACCTCAGATGGAACAAAGAAGAGATGGTTGAGTCTTTTCATTAATCTTTGGCAGTGCCTTCTGAAGCCTGTATGAAAGGTTACACAAGCCTGAAGTATCGACTCAAATGTCAAGTGATAAAGCCTCTGGAGGGGTTGTTTTCTTGGATATTGGCAATGTAAGAAGGTTGGAGGACAATGGAGGCATTGTCATTGTCACAACAATATACAGAACAATATCTGCTGTTGCATGGTGGTTTGTTGGGGAAAGGGAAGATGTCCCTTATTTGTGACTGTAATATTGATGTATTACTGTGGGATCTGTTCAATCTGAGGCTCCTCATTTTAGCAATTTGTAGTAATTCCCAGGTAAGGATTCTACTCCATAGGGCACATAGCCCTCTTTGAGAACCATTCCATTCATGCCTGAACCTTGCTCCCTGATCAGGCAGGTCACTGACTAGGTAATGGGTCTTCTGGGAAAGGACTGAACTGTATTTAGATAATTTAAAGCACATTGTCATCATCATGTAGGATTTCAATATGAATGTCATAGTGTGCTAGCTATATGACATCCTACTTCCTCTGCTTGTACATCCATCATATCTATACTTACACCTATATGTATCTTCAAAATTCAATGTTCCTTAAGTTACTATTTCCCTATCAATCATAGGATTTAATTCAGTTTAATCAAAAAATACTTATTAAGTACCCACTAAATGCAAGTGTGTTATGGACTGTGAGTAATAGAACTCTATAGTCTCTGAAGACTTGAAATTGAAAATCACTCAAAGAGCAATGCAGATGTGCAAAAGTGGATATGAGCAGGTTGCAACACATTTCAACCAAAGAATTAGGAAGGTGAAGGATATGAGACATGTCATCTACAAGTGAAATCTATGAGTAAAAAAGATTGGCAGGTCACATAAAGAGGTGAAGGAGTCAGTTAGGATGGACAGATTTCCTGTGTTTTCCTAGTTGGTTCCCTCTGAATGTCAAGAGAAAGTAAGGAAGACCTCTGGCATGTTGGGCAAACCCTCTAGTGGTCTAGTGTAGAATCACATAGGGTAAGCAAGCATGGAAAGGTTAGAATCTACATCACTGTAATGAATATGAAATCCATAAAATCAAAGGGTATGGTCAGGATTCTGATGGAGAAAATTTGAATTCAAATTTTCCAAAATTCTACTCTCTTCACCCATTCTCTTAGTAGTACTAGGCTATTTTTAAAATTTCTGTGGATATAACTAATAGTAGATTATTAATCTATTCAGTTTTAAGCTATTCATGAGCTATTCATTACAGCTTGAAGATAAACTGAATGTTTTCTGGGACATCTCTGAGGCATAAAATGATTTGCATATTGAAGTCTTGGTCCCAGTCCCTGGCTGATAACCACAGTACTGAAGATTGATCTTGTAGAGATCCTGGATGAAGGTAGGCTGATAATTTTTGACACCTGTGATAGATCTTGGTCCAAGTAGTGTCGTTTTGTACTGCATCCACATAGTTCACAGCAGTCAGGACCAAGTAGTGGGAGCTTTGTTATTCCAGGTTGGGAAGTTTCTTGAATGCTAATCCAATATACTTACTGTCATCCAAATATTCCTTAGGAGAAATGGTCTGAAGTGGTTGTCTTGCAGAGAATTAACCCCAGAATTTGCATGTACTGATGGAGTTAGTATAAGTATTTTTCTCATGTCAGTTCTAATTTTAAGGTGACAATCCTTTGAAATCCCTGATACATGGCATATTATTGTTTACATTCTGAATTTGCATGTTTATATGGAAAGCATTTAAGGGACTCTTTACAAGTGTCCAACTTAAACTTGGAGTGAATTTGCCTTTCCTATCTACTCTTTCTCTATTCTGTTATTGGCTAGTAAGTATCTTCTTTCAGTGTTCACCATAACATATCTCCCCTCACCATTAACCTGCAGTTTCAGATCTGAGAAATCTCAGGCATCCAGGTCCAGATTCTTCCTAGATTTACCACTTCAGGCTCTTTTTACCATTTCCTCAGTAATCAGAAAGTTAATCCTCTCAGAAAGCTCTAATCAGAATAAAATATTCAAGAAGAGAAAGAATATTTGTTACTCCAGTGTCCAGCTCTTCCTCTGTTTGGCAATCCTTTTCATTACTGGGTAGATGTGTTTCCATTTTCCAAGGCATCAAATTTCAGATCATTAGTGAATTAAAGTTTTCCCAAAGAAAAAAAAGGTCAATGTCAAGGCTCTTAGAGCCTTTGAATCTTTTCTTTTTTAAATTCAGACAGTCCCCCAGAATGTGTGCTAGTGGACTTTAGGATGGGAGTCATATACAGGAAAATCATTCAATGAAGCTCATTATCTGCTAAAGCTCTACTTTGGGGTTGACAGCTGCTCCCGGAGGCTGATTCTGGAGCTGCAGTTTTGTGGTATCATTAATTTTAACTCCTGATAAATACATTTGACTTAGAAATGGATGCCAATATTACTTAGAGAACACTTTGTGGAAATTTCAGGAAAAATGTGATATTATCCACATAAGACTTTCTAAATGTTAAACTTATTTTTTCTCTCAAAATAATTTTTATTAGCAGCTTTTTTTTAAGGCAATTGGGGTTAAATGACTTGCCCAGGGTCACACAGCTAGTAAGTGTCAAGTGTTTGATCTGAGGCCAGATTTGAACTCAGGTCTTCCTGACTTCAGAGCTGGTGCTCTATCCACTGTGCCACCTAACTGCCCCTATTAGCAGCTCTTAAAAACAGCACAGCCATTTTTTATTTTAGCACCATGTTCTCCTCTGCCTCCATCAACACCTCCTTATAAAAAGTTCATTTTTCATTTTTTGAAGAAGAACAATAACATTATGGGATGATGTCTTGACTTGAGCCATGAATTGGATTCAAATAAGGGAGAGGCACAAAGTTGTCAGTATCACTTTCTCTTCCAGAGTCATCGAAGTCCAGTGGCAAGACAAAAGTCAAGATTAATAGCAATGGCCCTGGATGCAGTGGATAACCTTGGCATCTTCAATACCTGACCAAGCTTTAAGTGCTCCACAGTGCCTTCATGGTCTTTGGAACAGATTGTTTTCATCCACCCATTCTGCTGAGTAAAGTCTTTACATGCTTGGGGTAGACACACTCCTAACTCACCTACAGGTTTGAGGCCTGTTGGTTACCCTCAACCTGGTTTAACCTATCTGCTGAGATGGTTTTACCAGGGTGTGGCCAATGCACAAGTGACAGTTTATTGAAGCCACGTTAACATAAACACTGACTTTGTAAGTATAGGCAACTTTAAGCATATGTAGCCACCCTGTTCAGTACTCAAAGGAGGTACTCATCTTGTCTTCCATAATTAAACTTATTTTCATTTAGAGATACATTTTAAAAAGAACAATGACAAGAAGAAGCAATGATTCTACATTATCTTCCTTTCTTTTTTATTTATTTATTTTTGGTGAGGCAATTGAGGTTAAGTGAGTTGCCCAGGGTCACACAGCTAGTAAGTGTCAAGTGTCTGGTCTGAGACCAGATTTGAACTCAGGTCCTCCTGGCTCCAGAGCCAGTGCTCTATCCACTGTGCCACCTAGCTGCCCCCTCTGCCTTTCTTTCTGAGTCAGATTACACAAGTCATTTCTGGAAGCATTGCAGGATACTTTGCCCCAAAACCTTCATTGCTTTACCTCTGTCACTAAGATAATTTATTCTATATAAATTTTAGTCTTTTACACACTATTTGGCATTTCTGCACCCTTTAAAAATCTCCTTTTATATGATGAAAATAAGAACAAAAATTTCTTATGTTGTGAAGCCTAGATCTATTACTGTTTATGAATGTGAAACTCAAATATGGAAAGCTTCCAGGAAGTTTTGCTTGACAGTAAGACTTTCTTCACCATTGGCATATTTATTATTACTGTGATTTTACACAACTGTGTAACTATGATATTACAATTAAAGCTGAATGAGATGGAAATTTTCAATGCACTCTGTGTTCCCAAAAAAGAGTTTGGAGTAAAATAGAAAAATAGAGCAACAGTGGAAATACTGTCAGGGAAGAATTCATGAGAGTGAATAGAAGTGGGACATAATAAAAATACATTAGAAAATGTTGATTAGAAAAAATTTCATAGAATGTGACTGATTTCAAATTTTTAAAAATTTAAAATCCTAAATCTTTTACTTATACAGAATTAGGACTGATCAGTTCAAATATATCAGAAAAAGATGGCCCTTAAATTATGTTTCTTATCACAATAAAGTTTCCCATTTTGTTTATCAAAAACACTTATCTATACTATTGTGCTATATGAAATGATGAACAGGCAGACTTCAGAAAAACCTGGAAAGACTTGTGTGGTCTGATGCTGAGTGAAGTGAGCAAAATCAAGAGAATGTTTTGCACAGTAACAGCCACATTGTTCGATGACTGATATTGATAGACTTAGCCCTTCTCAGCAACTCAAGGATCTAAGACATCTCCAAAGGCCTCATGATGAAAAATTCTATCCACATCCAAAGAAAAAAAACTATGGAGTTTGAATGAAGATCAAAGCACACTATTTGCTATTTTTTTCTTCTGTTATGTTTTGTTTCCTTTTTCTGATGGTTTCTCCTATTGGTTCTAATTCTTACTTACAACATCATTAATGTGAAAATTTGTTTCATAGGAATGTATATGTGCAGCCTATATCATATTATGCACCGTCTTGGGGAGGGAGGGGGAGAAAAATTTTAAACTCAAAAGCTTATGGAAGTGATTGTTGATAAATCAAAATAAATTAATAAAAAAAACAAGGCCAGAAGATAAATAAATAAATAAACACTTATCTACTCAAAGACAACAAAATATTCGAGTGCACTTTTACAGGCTCATATACTGATGGGGGGTACTACAACAAAGAATGATGAAATTATCAATCTCATAAACTATGCAAGTAAGGAAATGTAGTAAATGCAGAAGGGATCTTACCTGGAGAATATTAAAATCCTCATTACCTTCAAGTAAATTCTGAGAATTTTCTGACATGTTAAAATATCTGTGTAAGATTGTTGGGGAAAGAATAGCTGGCTCTTCTGAGAGCCCATAGTGAGAGTAACCTCTTGAGTATGTGTCTGGAGAAAAGCTGGGACTCCATCAATGCCAACAAATTCTGAGGCAGGGACACTGGCAAAATGGTGAGTGCCTGACCTCAGCAGCTGTGAAGCCCTCCACTTGCAAAACCTGAATGCTAGTAAGACAATGATGAAGCCAAAGGACAGGCAGGATACAGCAGCAATAGCCAGGACAAGATAGAAAGTGAGATTGGATTCCCTGGGGACTTCAGGGACAGCCAGGCGGTTGAGATCTGAGAGGACCTCAGGGATGGTGTCAGCCACAGCCACTGTGACACTAACAGTGGCAGAGAAGGGAGGCTCTCCATTATCTGTGACTGATATGACCAGATTCTATTTTAAGGTGTCTTTGCTTAGAAAGGCTCTGGCAGTCCTGATCTCTCCCATGTGTAGGCCCACAGAAAAGAGGCCTGGTTCTGTGGCCTTGAGTAGATGGTAAGACAGCCAGGCATTTTGGCCTGTGTCTCCATCCACTGCCACCACCTTTGTCATCAGGTAGCCTGGCTCTGCAGATCGAGGAGCCAACTCCACTCTGGTGGAGCCATCTGTGGGAAATGTGGGGTATAGGATTTCTGGGGCATTGTCGTTCTGATCCAGGATGAACAGAGTTAGAGACACATTGCTACTAAGAGGTGGGTCACCAGCATCTTCAGCAATCACAAGCAGTTGAATGTCAAGTAATTGTTCATAATCGAAAGAGCACAGAGAATAGAGGATGCCAGAGTCAGAGTTGATGGAGATGTAGGAGGAGAGAGGTGCCTCCTGGAGAATGTCTTCTGCAATGGAATAAGTGACACGGCCATTCTCTTCGCTGTCTGGGTCTCGGGCTATCACAGAATAGATAGAGGCACCTCTGAGATTGTTTTCTCGGATGTACACAGAGTAGGATGTCTGACCGAAGGTGGGAGGGTTGTCATTAATGTCTACCACATGCAGGGGGATGTAAGTGTCCATGGACAGGGGTGGGGTCCCGAAGTCCGTAGCTGTCACAGTGATATTGTACAGGGAAACCTTCTCTCTGTCTAGGGCTCCCACTGTTATCAATTTGTGATAATTTCCATAAGATTTGATAAGTTTAAAAGACAGATTCTCAGGTATGGAGCACATTACACGTCCATTCTCCCCAGAGTCCCCGTAATGCACATTTAAAAGGGCAATTACAGTCCCTGAGAGAGAATCTTCAGAGACTGACTTCGTGAGGGATGTTATACTTACTTCGGGAATGCTGTCATTTACATCCTAGACTGAAACAAGGATCTTAGCTTTCCCCAGGAGCCCAGGACCATCCCCTGCTTGTACTTCCATCTCATATAAGGCAGATTCTTCATAATCTAGGTTTTTCGTCGTTGATATTTGTCCTGTAACAGCATTCATTTGCAAGGTCTTTGAGGTTCTTTCAGCTATTTTCCTGAAAGAGTACCTTACTTCCCCATTGACTCCTTCATCTGGGTCTGTGGCTGTAACGGTGAGTAGTAATGTTCTCACAGGCACACTCTCAGGAACATTCACGCTGTACGTGGGCTCAGTAAATACTGGTGCGTTGTCATTGAAATCAACGACAGTCACTCGGACTTGTTCGGTGCCTGAGAGGACAGGATCTCCCCCGCCCGAGGCCCTGAGGATGAAATGGTGAACTGGCTCTTCCTCACGGTCCAGGGCCCGCTCTAACACCAGCTCCGGGTACTTGGCCCCGTCTATTCCGCTTTGCACATGCAGACAGAAATGATGGTTCGGGCTCAGCTGATAGCTCTGGACTGAGTTCACACCCATATCTGAATCAAATCCTTCTGGGAGAGGGAATCACGTTTCGGGCGCTGCGATTTCACTGACTTTTACTTCCACTTCTTCAGCTCGGAAATAGGGCTTGCTATCGTTGATATCAGTTATCTCCACATCCACTCCATAAATATTCGCTTTGTCTTCCAGAAGGATGTCCAAATTCAAAAAACACTTTGGGGCCCCGGGACAAAGCTCTTCCCTATCTATTCTATCCGCAGTGACTAAGCTGCCGCTTCTGGAATTCAGAACAAAATGCTGCATCTTACCTCTGGAGACGATTCGGGCTCCGCGTTCCGAAAGCTCGCGGGGCTTCAGCTCCAAGTCCTTGGCTATGTCACCCACAAAAGAGCCCTTCTCCATCTCCTCGGGCACAGAGTAGCGGATCTGCGCGGCACAAGATTCCAAAAGTATACTCAGCACAAAACAAAGCAGGATCTGCCCTCTGCAGTCATTGAACCTCTGCACAGCAGCCATTTGTATCTCACCGCCACAAACTAGTCCCGGTTCCACCGGAGTGTCTGAATCAATTCTTGCCTCCTCTGAGCCGGAAGCAATAGGTATTCATCAGAAAATCTGCATAGCAGAGAGTTCTGGCTGTTAGTGCAGTCCGAGTGTTTGCCGTTCTGATCTGGCAGTATTTTTGGGCTTAAGGAGCTGTGAGAGCTGGTTGGCTATGTTCTGGAATTGGTGTCGGTTATTAGTGAACAGCGACATCTAGAGGCCTGTGCAGTGACTGCAAACTACCCCCTCGAATTTTTCCCCCCAAATTGTATCTAGATTTAAATTTATTGTTCAAATTAGGGAGGGTATACAACATGTTTATTCACTTAGAATATAGTAAAAGTTAAGTAAATATGGAATTGAAGTGCACACCTTTCTGTATGCTCCGGCGGATACTTAATTTCATCAGTGTGGATACTTTCCCCCCTTAAGTTGTTCTTCCTGGATCTACTATCTTGTTGGAGACCTTTCTCTTCTTTCTGTATCTAGGAGTACCACTATAGATCTGAGATCCCGTTTTTTCCTAGTTCTTATTACATGACTAGTTCATTTTCTTTTCAGCTGTAAGCATTTCACATGTCAACACTAAATAATAAATCAAACTGTCCCTTAGGACAGAAGAAAATGGTTGATTTTCATGAGCTAAACACAATGGCTCTTTTCAAATGCTACATATATATATATATATATAATATATATATATATAATACACACACACACACATATACTGTTGCCAAATTCATGACCAACCTTACATCCATTTTTATTAATATAGGTTATAGACCCTTTATTTGGAAGAGATCAGAGAGACAGAGATGAGGAGGAGAGGGGGAGAGAGAGGGAGGCAGTGTAGGCATGGAATAAGAAAAGAAACTTCTATTCAATTTCACTTTCAAGGGTTACTAGCTGTGTGATCTTAGACAAGCCATTCAACCTCTATCAGCCTCAGGCAACTCTCCAAGATTCTCTAACAAACCAAGGATGAGTTGGAATTTACTCTGTCAGGAGTGAACTCACCAGAATTTCCTCTCATGCTGCTATAGTTCCAGATTCTTTGCTTATTTGCAACAGAATTGATTAAGTAACTGTCAAGTGGGGGAAAGGAAAACATGTAAAGAAACTGAGTTTCCTGAGCTAATGGGGTAGATCTATGGTTACTGAAGTAACGTACAGATGGAAAATTTATTGATGTTGTTGTTCATGTGTTTCAGTTGTGTCCAACTCATGGCCTCTTCATGACCTCATTTGGAGTTTTCTTGGCAAAGATACTGGAGTGGCTTACCATTTCCTTCTCCAGCTCATTTTTACAGATAAGGAAACTGAGGCAAACAGGATTAGTGATCTAAAATGTCTATTTCACAATTCCTCAAGTAATTGGAAGCCCATAGGTCCAACAGTCCAGCTTGTAGACCTCTGCATATAGAGAATGAAGGGCGCTATGGGTCCAGCTCTTTCATAAGGATCAACATTAAGAAGAAGGAATAGTTCAGAGTAGAAACCGGGAGCTCTGATATGTTCTGACTTACCTCCTAAGCAAAACAACTACTAGGTGTAATTTAAATCAGAAAATCACCCCTAATAGAATAACATGATTGGAGATATAGAACGAGCGCCTATCAAAAGTTTTTGAAATGTTAATACTTGCCTCAAAGAGATAGTTCACAATGTTCTATAGTAGCCAGGGCTTTCTTTGAAAATATTTAAGATGTTTGTATTTTCACGAATTAGTAAATGAATCCAAGTTAAACATTTGGATTCATTTACTAATTCTGAAAATCCAAACAGAAAAGCTATAGCAATAACTTCACTAATTCTTAAAGAAAAAGATCCAGAGCTCACCTTCTGAATGGTGTACGTGCCATGGAGTGTTATTGTTCTGCACAAATAGTGGGTGTGGCTTCTCAATATAAAAGAGATTGTCAACTTCTTGGCTCCAACCTTTTGATTTTAATAAGTTAAATTCTGTCTTTCCAAGACCTGAGGCCATATTTAGATTGTAGGAATAAGTAAAGTCCCTTCACTGAGGTTTGGAGGAACTCTGGATGCAGCCCTGAAGCAAAGATGTCCAGGGAAACAGCTCATCACATAGGAGTTAGACAGGCTCTCTGAAAGTGCTGGGCTATAGCCATTGTCTCAGTGATTAGAAACAATGAAGAGATTAGGGCCAGTGCCACAACTAGGTAAAACTACAGCTCAGAATGAGGGTCCAAGGCAGTTGAAGGCTCACCTCTCATCTCAGGCGGCGCCTCCTGCAAGCTGTCGGCAAAAACCAAGTGCAGACACACTGTAGTGGACAAACAGGGTTGGCCTCTATCCTGCACAGAGACCAGAAGGCGGTGCCCAGCTGCATCTCGGTCAGTCAAAGCCCTGGAGATACTGACCTCGCCTTTTCGCAGCTCTAGGCTGAAGATTCCCGGATCTACGTCTTGCTGCTCGCTGTAGGCCAGTCTGAGTCCACTGCCCGACGGATCTTGTCTAAGAGGGCAGAATCATCAAGCCTCAGGGGCGGATAGAGGGGCGTTGTCACCGCGGTACACAATGAAATCTCGCGCAGTAACATTGGCGCTGAGAAAAGGGGAGTCTGCATCATGGCCTGTAGAGTCACGAAGGTTCGGACCTGTTTGTTCATAGTTGGAGAGCTGTAAAAAGATGCCCTCACTGTGGCCATTGACAGATGCACAAGAAGACAGTTGCAGCTGGACCAGGTCGCTGCTGAAGATAGAATGGGACATTCCACTTCCAGGTCTAGGTCAGAGGATGAGATACTCTCGATTGCAGACTCCAGAGGGATTGTTCTCAGGGACGTAAGCAACATGGTAAGGTTGGAGAAAAACAGGGAGATTGTCGTTACTTCATCGATGTACAGGGCGAGAGTCTTGCTGGAGGAGAGAGGAGACTTTTTCGTTATTTGTGGCAGTCATGTTGATCTTATAACCTGGGATCTCTTCTCGATTTAAGGTACTCTCTGTTATGAGTAGGTGTTAGTGAATGGAACAATTTTCACTGGAAAATGTCCCTGTAAATAATAAACCACTTGGCCTTTTTTTTTTTTTTTTTTTGAATTCTCTTCATGAGCACTGATGAAAGATATAACTGTTATAGGTCACAGAACATGATTGGTGATTTGGGGTTCATTGTTACTTTACAGTGAGCCACCTGACCTCTATCACCTTTACTTTGTATATTAAACCCAGAGGTTTAATAGGTCTCTTTGAAATATAATCTTCCTTTTAGTAACATTTCTTCAGTAATAATATGGAGAGTAAAAATGGGTTGTGAAGTCTCTTGAACACTTTTAGAGTGGTATGAAATTCTTCCATGGACTCCCTCGTCCAGGTCCATAGCCATCAGGCCCAGCACTGAGGATCCCAGGGGTAGGTTCTCCTGCAGACTGACTCTGTAGACGTCCTGGCTGAAGACAAGGGGATTATCATTGGCGTCCACGACTGTGATCCTGATCTAAGCAGTACGGTTTAGGGCTGGGTCTCCCCCGGACACCACAGTAATGGATATTCTATTTTTCCCTGTCCAAAGGCTTCTCGAGAACTAATATTGATTGTTTACTGCCATCTGGACCTCCCTGCAGGTTTAAGGAGGATCAAGACTGTAACTTTAGACTGAATTGACATTAAAATCTAGATCTTCAGCTGATTCTAGAGGAAATCTTCCAAATGGAACTACAGATTTTATTTCCATATTTTTGTCATTTTGGTTCAAAAAGGCAAAGTAATCATTGGTATCTTGTATTTCCATATTCATGTGGAAAACATAAAAATGGTTTTCGACCAGTTTCTAAATTTAAGAAGCAAGATGATGTTTTTCCGCATATCTCCTCTCCGTCTAATCTCTCCTTTACATAAAGGCCGCCATTCTCTACATTCACAGTAAAATACTCCTTTTCGGCTCCGGAGAGTAGCCTGGTTTTCAGAGCCGGCAAGTCCCGGGCCTCCAGCCCCTGATCTTTGACGAGGTTCCCCACCACCAAGTCTTTCCCCCTCTCCTCGGGAATCGAGTAACTGAAGTGTTAGGAAAGCGCTTGGCAGAACAAAGAATCCTAGAAAGGAAACAGTTACCCGAGGCCTCATTGTCTCTTCTCTCTGCCCAGCGCTGCTGTCCCCACCCCTCTTCCGTTTCAGCCGAGGTTTCGGAAGTTCCCAGATGCTGCGTTACAAATCTTTACTTGAGTGTGAGCTTACGGGTCAAAGAAGAGAGGCCCCTTTCTTCAGGAAATGGCGAATCCTTGGGTTCTGGGGCCGAATGGGAGAAGGCGGCAAGCCGAATGTATGAGTCCCAGCTTTCCTCTATTATGTGTTCGTTGAGACTGCGCAGTAAATCGTCCAGATGGAACACAGTGGCTCTTCGCTCCGACCCAAGTCTGGCTGGGCACGAGCAAAGAGCGGCGCCCAGAGGCGCAGACTCAGAAAGTATACAGCGCTGGGGAAGGAATAAACATCTAGCAATCCAGTAAGGCTTGGATAATTTAAGAGGAACACCCACAATTCGGTGAAAAACGATTCTGAGGAATTTCAGTGACTGTAAATTCTTTTGGGCTCGGTGGAGGGAAAGGGTGATTATGCATTATATATATTTGTCATTAAAGGAATTTTTTTCCCCTTTTTTGGTGAGGCTATCGGGGTTAAGTGACTTGCCTAGGGTCACACAGCCAGCAAGCGTCAAGTGTCTGAGGTCAGATTTGAACTCAGGTCCTCCTGACTCCAAGGCTAGAACTCTCTATCCACTACGCCACCTAGCCACCCCATTAAAGGAAATTTTAAAACATTTTATGGCTTTTACAAAATCCTCTCAATCAGACATAGTAAACGAAACGGACACATTTCCCACAAAATCAGTTTTCATCCATGATCAAAATGAGTTTTAATAATAACAATCCCATTTGTGCCATCTGGAATGCACTCCTTCTCTAGAATGCTCTTCCTCTTCACCTCACTTGCATCTTAGAATTTCTAGCTTCCTTTCCAGGCAACTCAGGTGCCATTCTCTATATTAGGCTTCTAGTGCTCTATAACTTATGCAACAGCTTTGTAATCTCCGTACATACCGTGTATGTACAGCATACATATTTCATCCTCCAGCAGTTCTATGAGTTCCTTTCGTAAAGAGACTATTTAGTTCTTGTTTTGCTTACCCCTCACTTAGCCAGTGCCTTAAGCACAACAGGCATTCAATTAAGGTTGGCTGAATTCAAATAGACAACAGGAAAGCATGCTCTTTTCTTTCTCTGAGAATAAGAAGGGCAGCAATAATAAATTGAGGCCCTTCATATTCTGCTAACTCAATGGAGCTGAGTATTTCTCTATATTTAGCATGAAATACTTTGTTTCATTCATGGTATTTATTTATTTCACTGCTTTTTCTTGCATCTGCCAGGCTATAGATTGTTCAACATTTTATTAATTATAAAGTTATAGAATTCAGAAGCTTGAAAATTTCCTCAAGAAGTCATACATTCCAGACTTTTGCCTAGAACCTTTCCCTAAGAAGATGCAACATCTGAGAAAATCAAACTATCTCTTCTCCACATTTGGATCCATGTGAATATAAGTACATGGGTTAGAAAAATAAGGAGGAAGTAATAACAAAAGGGTTACGTATAGCCTGTGGAATATGGGAACAGAGAGGACAGTCAATGAGCTTGTAATATTAGGACACTCTTCTACCACCTACCTTCTTTACCTCCCTGGGTCACTACTAATCCTTAGGTCCTCCCCTTGTGGGACCCTGAAAGCTATCCTAGAGATAGATGAATGGAATGTTACCTAAACCATGGTAGATGGTAAGGTTAATATACTATTACAGTGTTAATAATTAATCCCAAAGCAGGAAACTGGGGAAAATTTTACAGCAATTTTCTTTGACAAAGGTCTCATTTCTCAACTATATAGGGAATTGAATCAAATTTGTAAAAATAAGAGCTATTCCCCAATAGATAAATGGTCAAAGGATATGAACAGGTAGTTTTCAGAAGAAGAAATCCAAATTATAAGCAACCACATGAAAGAATGCTCCAAATCACTAATAATTAGAGAAATGCATATTAAAGCAACTCTGAGATACCTTTTGCACATCCATCAGATTGGCTAACATGACAGAGAAGGAAAATGACAAATGTTGAAGGGGTGTAGAAAAATAGATACACATGCCCTGTTGTTGGACCATTCTGGAGAATAATTTGGAACTATGCCCAAAGAACTATAAAGTTGTGCATACCCTTTGATCCAGCATTGCTGCTACTATACCCAAAAGAGCTCAAAGAAAAAAGAAAAGGATCCATATGTACATAAATATTTATAGTATTTCTTTTTATGGTAGCAAAGAATTGGAAACTGAAAGTATGCCAATCAATTGCAGAATGATTTCAGAGGTTGTGGCATAAGATTGTGATGGAATAAAATTATGCTGTTAGAAATGATAAAGGGGAGGGTTTCAGAAAAACCTGAGAAGACTTATATGAACTGATGCCAAGTGAAGTGAGCAGAACCAGGAGAATAATTTACATAGTAACAGCAATATTATAAATATAACCAACTGTGAAAGACTTAGCTACTCTATGATCCACGACAATAAAAAGGACTCATGATGAAAAAATTGCTATCCACTTACAGATAGAGAAATGATGGACTCATATTGCAAACTGAAGCAATTTACTTCATTTATATCACTTGCTATTCCCCTCTGTCTCTTCTCTTCCCAAACATGGCTAATGTTTTGAATGATTTCATATGTATAATGGGTATCATATTTCTTATGTTCTCAATGAGTCAAGAAGAAATTGGATGGAGGAAGAAAATATGGAACTGAAAATAAATTTTAAAAACTTAAAATAAAAATAAAACAAAGTATTCCCTTGACAATTTGATTGACATGGCATTACATTAAAAGTATAAATTAACTTTGGTAGTATTGTCACTTTTACTATATTGGCACAGTCTAGCCATGAGCACTGCATATTTCACCTACTATTTAAATTGTTTATTTTTTTTTAAGGACTACGTTGCAATTTCATCTATATGTCTTTTGTTTTTGTACTTTGCTAGGTCAATTCCCAGATATTTTATGCATATTGTAATGCATTATTGATGATAGTAAGCTATAGTTTTCCTTCTGTGTTTTGTTTTTCTCTGGTTTAGTTATTAGGATTATATCTGTCTCATAAAAGGATACTTGTAGAGTACTTTCTAAATTTTTGAGAATAATTTGTGAAGTATGGATAATAAAATAAAACACAAGTTTTATAGAATTCTACTGTCAATCTATCAGGACCAAGACTTGGCTCTTTTTCTTTACCTACTGACTTTGTAGTTGCATTTCAGATTTCACTAAGTACTACCCTTTAACATTTTTTCTTTAATAACTTTTTTCTGTTAGATATACAGTGCAAACCTGAACATAATGAATGCTTTGGAAAAGCTCATGAGGATTTCTAAACAGTGAATGAAATGAGGTCTTCAGAGTTCCTGGTTGTCATTCTTAACCTCAATTCCCTGAATTGTCCATAATTAAAAGAAGGTAGAACATACAAGACATTAATCTCTGAGTTGATGAGACATATAAAGAGAGAGGGACATCTAGGGGGTAGATTGTCAATTATAATGGAGTTTATGATGCAGACATTTTATTCCCATTCAGGATCTGTTGCTTTCACAGAACAAAAATGGCTATTCCCTGTGGATTATTTTCAGGGACTTTGGCCACATAAAACTTCTCCAGAAATATAGGTGCATTATCACTTTTATGAACAATTATGAAGTATATTATACTTGCTGCTGAGAGACTGGGTTTCCCCTGATCTATAGCTGTTATGGTTATATTGTACTCTTAGATTAGTTCTTTGTCCAAAACACTGTCAGTAATTAAACTGTAATAATTGTCAAAGGACTTCTGAAGTTGGATTTGAAAGTGACTGGGGATGGAACAGGCAACTTAAACATTGCTGCCTGAATATTTATTCTCTACATTAAGGAGAGAGATTACCGTCCTAATGACTTCTGGGACTGAGAGGAACAGGAAGCCATTTTAATATCATTAATGTTATCATTTTTATCTAAGATTTCTAGAAGGAGCTGAACTTGGAAGAGAATTCTCTGTAGTCAATCAACTGAATGGCAAATGAATAGATTTGAGATTCTTCAAAGTCAATTTTTCCAGTCACTTTTATCCTCCTAGTTTGAGAATCCAATGTAAAATAATTTTAAAATGTTTGTGTCTTCTATGAGGGAATTATTTCTGCATATGAACATTCATCATCAACTTCAGTAGCTTTCATGGTCAACACTGCAGAAATGGGTGTCAACTTTTCCATAATTTAGACTTCATAAAGTTTGGTTACAAACAAGAGCTTTGTCACCAGAATCCAGAACAGAAACATGGATTTTCTCAGTATTAAACCTCTGGGGTTTACTTCCACCCTTTGCAGTAAAGATCAGATGATATATAATCTTGTTCCTTATCCAAAGACTTGTCCAGGAGAAGCTCTGCATTTTACCCTCCTCATGGCAATGCATGTATTTCCAGTGAGAATAAGACTACTGAGTGATAATTTAAGGAGATGAATGGGGAGGAATCAATTTCTACATTTGGAACTCATGCCACACCCAGACAAAACTGGGATCCTGGTTATGTTGTCTCACTGGACTCTTTGGGCACTGCTCCTGATTCTTCAGACCTCTGTCTACACAATGCCTAGGTAAATTTCTCAACCTGTAAAATTCTTCTGCTCCTGTGGGTTTTTCTTCTGATTGGCCAGTTCCTCTCAGAACTTCCATTTTAAAGAAGGGTCCAGGATAGCCATATGCACTTCTTAACTCTTCTCCAGGCTCCACTCCTGACTCTTGTTTGTGTGCCTTTTTTCTCCATTCCCATCCCGCACTTTTCAGTTTCATATGTTGTCTTTAGTCATTAGAATGTAAACTCCTTGAACGCAGGGCCTTTCTCAATAATATGTTCATTCTGTGGAACCTGGGAGCATTATCATTAGGTTCAGAATATCCACCTCTGCTTGGCAAAACTTCATTGAATTTTAGTCATAATTTGCAAATTCAAAAGACAGTGTGGGTTATCTGCATGTATCTGGCCTCCAGCAATCTTTTCATTCATAACTAAAATACCATTTTTAGCATTAAGAGTGAAATACTGGATCCTACATTGGGATGCAATGTGTGTTCCATGTTCCACCAGCATAAGGGGCTCCAGATCCAGACCCTGGTAATATCATCCATAACAGAGTCCTCCCCATCTCCTTGAGCACTGAATAGCAGACTTGCATGATTCTGGTCTCTCAGTGTACCCAGGAGAAATCAAAGCAGGACTCATGCCCTTCAGTCCTGTTGCTTTTGTGTAGTCTCCATTTTAAATATTATGAGAGTTTTGCTGATTAATACTCCAAAGGACTTGAAAAGAATGGATAACTAAACCAA